TTCATATATTGTTGAATATGTTGTAAATGGGAGTGATACAGTATGTCATGAAACACCCTAATTCTTTAAAAAAGTATCATCTCTTTCTTCTTTGGTTTTCTTCCAGATCAAACAATGTCTTCAGTAAGGACAAGACGAATGGAAACAACATACCAAAATGAAACCTTTGTTTATTAAACCTTATTTGCAGCTTTGCTCTCCATTCATCAGCGAGTATTTTGTACAGTTAATGTAATAGCAAATAATTTAAAGGAAATGCATCATATGGCTTTAATCTAGGTGTATTTAAAAACAAAAAAGCATGCTTTGTTTTGCATCAATAAACTTTATCTACTTGAGTGCTTCTACATGATTTTTCTTTACACAAGTTGTTTGATTTGCTTCATTCATTTCATTTCAATCTTTATTTCGAACAGATTAAAAAAAAAAAAAAAGTGAAAAACAGAATACCGTATTGTTAAAATACAGTATTTATCCACATTCATCATCTTCCGTCTTATTTTGGTGATCTAGTACTGTCATGCTTTGAGGCGACAGAAGGAATTTAGAGGTGCAAGAGCTGAGATGTGACCAAAAATGTGTCACTTTGAATGTTATTACTATAGTGATGAAGCAGTAGAAACATCTAATATTAGAAGATGGCTATTTTACCAAAACATCCTGACATTTGTCTTGTATTTTTAGACTAATGCATGATAAATAATCAGAATTACAATTGCAATAAAGTTCAGGTAAAGAATGAAAAGAGGTTAAATCATTCTGCAGTTGTCCCGATGAACCATCTAACTGTTGGTGTTAAATATATCTGCCTTTGAAACCCAAGTATAATACTGCCATCCATTTTTACTTAGATATGAGTTTAGCAAAAATGACTATTTACTCTGCCTTTTTAAAATGGGATCTTGGTAGAGAGTGAAGTTAAAATGTATCTGCATGGCATGAGCATGAATTAGTCATGCCAATGTAAAACAGGAAGGAAAGAGAGACTAGTTATTCTCAGGAAATCTGTAAAATACCAATGAGCTCATGTTGAGATCAGATCAGATTTCCTCCCACAGTGTTCTGTTAGTCTTCCTCAATTTTCTTCAAGTGTTAAAGTGGACGTATGTGTAAGAGAGTCAGTGTTCGATCTGAAGATGGGACACACTTTGCTCTGCGCGCTGGGGTTATTCTGTGAGTACTTTTCCAGTTTTAATTACCATTGATACAACTTTTTAAATGCCCGAGGTTATGATATATTTGTCAGTTTGATAATGTCTGATGTAATTTCAAATGTATTTCAGTGCTCAATTTACTTTACCGTGGACAAGCTCAAGGTAATTATACAATTCTCTTTCTTTTTGTATACTTACTCAAGACAAATCTACCTATGTAACCCTCCAAACAACATCGGTTTGGTCAATGTATAATACATTTTTTGACGAAAATAAAACACATTTTACTTTATGTACAGTGGAGGAAATAAGTATTTGATCCCTTGCAGATTTTGTAAGTTTGTCCACCTACAAAGAAATTAACAGTCTATACTTGTAATGGTAGGTTTATTTTAACATTGAGAGTAAGAATATCAAAAAGAAAATCCAGAAATTGACATTATATCAAAGATAAACATTGATTTGCATTTAACTGTGGGAAATAAGTATTTGATCCCCTTGCAAAACATGTAGTACTTGGTGGAGAAACCCTTGTTGGACACACAGAGGTCAGACGCTTCTTGTAGTTGGTCTCCAGGTTTGTGAACATCTCAGGAAGGATTCTGGTCCACTTTGAGGCTGATGCTTGGCATCTCGAAGCTTCAGCTCCCTCCACAGATTTTCTATGGGATTAAGGTCCAGAGACTGGCTAGGCCCCTCCATCACCTAAGTGTGCTAATTCTTTAGCCACTCCTGTGTTGCCTTGGCCGTATGTTAAGGTTTATTGTCGTGCTGGAAAACACATCCATGACCTATTTTCAGTGTCCTGGCTGAGGGAAGGAGGCTATCGGCCAATATTTTACGGTACTTGGCCCCGTGCATCCTGTCCTTGATGCAGGGAAGTCGTCCTGTCCCCTTAGCAGAGAAACACCCCCAAAGCATAATGTTTCCACCTCCATGCTTGACAGGGGGGATGGTGTTCTTCGGGTTATAGTCAGCATCTCTCTTCCTCCAAACACGGCGTGTCGAGTTGATGCCAAAGATCGCGATTTTGGCCTCATCGGACCACATAACCTTCTCCCAAGCCTTTTTTTTAATGATTCAGATGTTCATTGTCAAACTTTAGACGGGCCTTTCATGTTCTTCTTGAGCAGGGGATCTCGCAGGCGCTGCAGGATTTGATCCATTATGGTGTAGTGTGTTACCAATAGTTTTCTTGGTGACTGTGGTCCCAGCTGCCTTGAGATCATTACCAAGTTCCTCCCGTGTAGTTCTTGGCTGATCCCTCACCTTTCTCATGATCATCAATACCCCATAGGGCGAGATCTTGTGTGGAGCTCCAGACCGAGGGCGATTGATGCCCATTTTCTTTTTCTTCTATCTCCGAATAATCGCACCAACAGTTGTCTCCTTCTCACCAAGCTGCTTTCTGATGGTCTTGTAGCCGATCCCAGCCTTGAGCAGGTCTACAATCTTGTCCCTGAGGTCCTCAGACAGCTCTTTGGTCTTGCCCATGGTGGAGAGGTTGGAATCTGATTGATTGATTCTGTGGACAGGTGTCTTTTATACAGGTAACAAGTTGATATTAGGAGTACTTTTTTAAAGTAAGAAGAGTGATGTAACCGGTCTGTGAGAGCAGAATTCTACAAACACACAGCAGGATATTACTGCAGAGCAGGAAGAGGAGACCCAGTGTTTTACAGTTGGTATAGCAGGCCTGCGTTTCTCTGTTCTGGAGGTCAGTATGTTCTTCCTTTTTCTTTCTTTCTATAGTTTGTACCACCATTAGGCCAACAAATGTCTTTATCAAAGTTTGCCTGCTCTTGAGGTTTGTTTTGACTTTTGCATTATTGCAAAATGGAACAAAGTCACTTATTTTGGGAACTTTTCTTTTACACCAGCATCAGGTCGTAGTTCAGTTTTCAAAACTATTCTCTAAAACAGAATGATGATTGACTGATTCAACTTCTGGAGTTAATCTCCTGACCCTCTTTTCATCCTGACACATGAGTTGTTGTTCGCCATGATTCAACCCTTAGACTTTGTAAATCCAAAACCTAATAATATAAGGCTTCTACAATACATTGTAATTACATATAACTGGTAAGTGTTTTCTTTATTTTTTTAGTTGGGAATATGTTTTAAGATATTTATCTGCTCGTTAAATGGTTTAAGACATAAACAATACATATAATTTAAAAAATGTGTTGTGTAGGATTGAGAAACTGGTACTTTCACTTTTGTTTTCCTCCTACTTTAGTTTTTTCCCGTTTGTATTTTTAGGGTAAATTAAGTGGAAGTTTTGCTGTACCAATGCATTGTCTTTTTTAGTTTGCATGGTTTAAATGACACCTCTTTGTGTGTTTCAGATTTGAATTCAGCAGCGTCTCTCACAGTGAGTCCTGACAGTGTGCAGCACTTTACCAAAACGCCTGTGTCACTGAGCTGTGAGGGAAACTCCACTGAGTGGAGAGTGAAGATGTTTCATGAATCCAACAACCTTCTTCCCTGTTCTATCTGGGGGACAATGACTGGATCCACATGCAAAATAACCAGAAGATGGCTTAGTGGAGTGTACTGGTGTGAGTCTGAAACAGGACAGTTCAGTAATGCAGTCAACATCACAATGAAGTGTGAGTTTTATTTATTTAAAATATTTGTTTCTGAAGTATTATGTTCTTTTTAAATGTGAAGGTGACAAGCATTAGCCAAACGTCTCTTCAAATTAGTAACACTTTATAAAAAAGGCTAATTAATCTACACCTTGGCATTTCAGCTTCTGCCAGACTAAACCAGTTGTGCCTAAACGTATTAAATCTGCAAAAGATGATGTCTCTGATAAAGCCTTTATATTCTTTGATTTTTATTTTCCAGTTTATGGTCAAATTATCCTGCTGAGTCCTGTCCGTCCTGTGGCGACTTCCTGTCACTCTTAGCTGCAAGTTAAAGACACAAACCGTTTATAAAGTGGATTTCTATAAAAATGACAAACTCATCCAGAACGATACCAGAAGGGAGCTGACCATCTCTGCAGTGTCAAAGTCAGATGAAGGCTTTTATAAATGTAAACAGAGAGATTCAGCAGATGGATGGACGTCATCAGAGAGTTGGTTCTCAGTAAAATGTGAGTATGATAAAAAACAGTTTCCTCTTTTTGAGATGTGTTGCTGAGTCAGAGCTAAAAAAGACAGTTAATACTGAATTCAAAGTTGTTTATAGTGTATTTAGTGAATTTGTTCCAATAAGTGTGTCAATATTTATGATTTATGTGTAAGTGTATTTGTACACTTTTGTATATTCCATAGATGTACATGTATGTGTCAATGTGTGAATATAGGTTTTTAATAAAAATTTAATTGTCATTGTTTATTAATCTTAGATATTTCTGAGGCTTGTTCTGACCTTGAAGCTCTGTTCCTGTGAAGTGCTTTGAGGAAAGTGTTGTATACAAAAATAATAATGAAGGTTATTTATATTAGCAGCTTCTCGGCCTGGAAAAGTCTCTCAATTTCCCGTCCTGTTGACTGTTGGGCTGCTTTGTGGAGTTTTACTGATTATTCTCCCACTGCTGTTCCTGTATCGCTACAGAAAATCAAAAGGTCAGAACCTTTTCATCTGATATCAAATGAATTAAACTGTAATTACTCAAAATCACACATTTGCAATTAAAAAACAATGTAACTAAGTTTTTCTTGTATTCAACAGATTCAGTCTTCATCAGGTCGGTACAATCCTCTTTTATCTCATTTTGAACTTTACAGCAGTTATATGTTAAATTCAATCCACTTCATTATCTTCATGTCTATGTCCCACAAGATCTCCGAGCACCAATCAGGGCCCTGCTACAGACCACATGATCAACCAGGATGAAATTCAAAACATGCCAGAATATTCTACTCTCCTCCATGGTCAGCCCTTCTCCGGTTCAATAATATGATTTATTTTAACTCTTAGTCTTAATTGTGATTAAAATGATTGGTGTAACCATGGTTGATTTTCACTTCTCTGTAGTTGATCGTTGTCTCTATGAAACAATCGGAGGGCCTGTAGAAGCTGGAAATGGTACAGTATTTAATTTGTGTTTAACATGAAGTAATACAAATACTACATGCAATGGTTGATATGCTTTTGTCGGCCAGCAGTGTCTAAATAAAGTACAGGAATTGTCCTTTGATTATTATTTTAATCCTTCTAACAGGTTCCAGTAATGAACCAGAAGAGAGCCTTTACATAAATGTGGCTGCAGGTAAAGTCATGTACAAAACACTTTTATATATATACATATGAATATACTAAAAGCTTTTATAATGTGCTGTGCTGCTTGTCAGTTTCAGCAATGAGCAAATCCACCAAATAAAGCTTTTTATACTTTTTGTGCATTTGAATGCCTTTTTATATAGAGCATGTTGTTTTCCAGACATGTTTTGGTTTAATGAAACATTACTTAAAACATCGTAACTAATAAATGGCAAATGTACATATTTTCACAGACAAATTAGTTGGCATTACCACACATTGTTGTATTCAAAAGCAGTACCATGAGCAGAAAGTACCCAATGATAATAACTCATTTTGGTTTTCTTCCAGATCAATAAAGACATGCTCATGGACAGAACCAATGGAGCGGATAAAAACATGAAAAACAAAATGCTTGTTTCAGCAATTGAGTGTATTTGCTGCTTTTGTGTAAATAGTGCAGAGCCTTTTTTTAATAAAGGCCTTTCTAGGAACATGCTAAATGCTTTGCAGATCAACTGTATACTTACTTTCTGTGTACTTATATTTAGTGTAAAACATTGTACTGCAACATTATTTGTTACTTGTCTGATTCAGATCATGTGGCTCTAACCTTGTTGTACATTTGGTGATATTAGAGCCAGATACTAATATATGCAGTATGGACACATGCTTTAGCACTGTAGATGCACACAGTGGACACACAAATACTGTATATCATGAATAAAACCCAAATGCAATTATACCTGCATGAACTGTTCAGTGAATGATTCTTACTAGATGCTACCACAGGGTGACAACACATTATCTAATGCCTTTAATTTATCTGCAGAAGTAGTCTGTTGTAAAAGCCAAAACATCTGAAGTCACAGCGCCACCAATAGGTCAAACAAGATGGTCAGATTCAAAGGAACTGAAGCACATACCTTTTGTACAGTGTATTTGTTTTCTTTCAGATTTTTGGGGCACGTTTTTTGTTTTGTATTAATACAAATAACTTGGATCATTTTATTATCTCATTTTTAATAATACAAACGTTCTGTATTTTGTGAAGCAGATTAACCAAAAATAAATAAAAACATGATGGAATTTCTCATAAGCTTTTCACCAAAAGAGAAACAACAACCCACAAGTATTATCTTTATTTCATGCTTTCAATGCAATCAAAGCAGTAAAGCCTGTCCAGGAAGAAAACAAGGCAGAACATTTATTGTTTTTCTAACATGTTATTGTCATTGACATTTAAAAATGTTAACCAAAACCCTTAATGCACTTAATATATAATATGTTTTCTGCTAGTACTAACACTTTATTATCTTGTATGATTTCAAAATGTGAATATACGTTACTGTGTTCCTACATTGTCCATGGGTAAACATACAGTATTCTCTATGTAAAGAGATAGAAGAAGGGAATCTACTGACGCACTACAGCCAACATTAGTTTGTCCAATTTATGTGAGTATTTTAGTGAGGCTATTATATTGTACTTATTCTCCAGTCACTGTGCAGTTATAATATAAGCTTTATTTCGATATATGACCACAAGGTGGTGTTAAACTACTTTATCTCATACTTTACCTACTCTACACAAATAGTCCTTCTGAAGTCTGGCACCAGGGTCTGATGTCATGTAAATGTAACTCCTAACTAATAACTAAACAAATGACTGCTTACAGTTCACTTCCTTACAGTACCTTTGCACTGATGCATGGAAGTGGAAGCTTTCAATTTTGACTACCCACCACATTTAAAACTTCACAACTACTCAAGTGTTGTGGTTTTTATTTATTTGATCATTATTATGGCATTAAGTACAACTGTTGTGATATAATTTTGCACCTAGACAAAACATATTTTCTGTATTCAAATGATTGCTTTATTGCTAATGATATAGATATGAAATGTTGCCCCCTTAAAGTAGATAGAGTCTATCTTGAGGAGGGGGATGGACTTTGTCTCTCTTCACATTCACTTCTGGTAAAGAGACTAGGTGAGACTTCCTGTGGGTGAGGTTGTTTCTAAACTTAAACTTGAATTCCTCCAGAACACTCCAGCACTGCAGTTCAACTATTTGGTTAAAGCTGTTACACACTTTTTCATAAGAAATATTGTTGAGAAGGCCCATGGATTATAAAGTGAGTATGACGCATGCAATTTTATCACTTAATTTTTTCTAGAAAGAACACTTCATGCAGCAGTCTTCATAGCAGCATCAATAATTACTGACCATTTGTGCAGAAGCACGAGCCCACAGGATGATCTTATCTACGTCAGGAAGGATATTTTAATACCTTATCTCTCTTCATCATTAGAGGATACCTAAACCAAGTTGCAAAAAAATGTGCTGTGTTAAAATCTGTTCAGTTGTGTGAGCCTTGTGTAAAAGGGAAGGAAGCCCAGACCGTGTAAAGAAGTTAAAAATCAACTTCCTTTTCCAATATTACATTGCATTTGTTTCTCTGTAGTTCCTGATTTCTCTTCATATGCTGCAGTTTCTATCTTTCTATTTACACAAAGTAGAAGAATTTCTCACAAACAGAGGATCAGATTATCAGTGTTGGATGTGAAGATGGGACACACTTTACTCTCTCTACTGGGGTTTTTCTGTGAGTACTTTTCCGGTTTGAATTGCCATTGATACAACTTGTTGAATGCCTGAGGTGATGATACGTTTGATTTCTTTCTATTTAATAATGTCTGATGTAGTTTCATACTTATTTCAGTGCTGAATTTACTTTACCGTGGACAAGCTCAAGGTAATTATACAATTGTATTTCTTTTTGTTTACCAACTATAGTCAAATCTACCTATGTAACTCTCCAAACAACATCCTCTTTTTTGTGTGTTCCGTTTTGTCAATTTATTATACATTTTTTGACAAAAATAAAACACATTTTACTTCATGTATCTTGTGATGGTTTCTAGATGCTGTGCTGACCTTTGAGCCAAACTGGACCACCGTTTTACTGGAGAGTCTGTTACCTTCAAGTGTGACATTACAGGAGGCAAAGACAGAGACTGGTATTACGCAATCCGCAAGAATGGTCGAGAATTTCTCCCTTACGGCAAACATGAGAACTATAGATTACCCCTTCTATATACAGGCGACACTGTGGAGAATACTATTGCTTTTTACAGCACGGGGGATCAATAAAAAGAAGCAATAAAATCTATCTAACTGTATCAGGTAAGTGATCAAAGTAATACAACCATGAACAAGTTCAATAAATGCATTTTTTATTTATGAGCCATATTGATATGAACACGCAGTTTGGACAAGCTCTAATATATAATCTGTAAATTATTTTAATGTTTTAACGTTTGAACAGCTCCACTGATGCTGTATAGGCAGGTGAAGTATACTGTACAATCCTGTGCTTTGTGTTATCACAAAATCAAGAGTATTACAATAAGAACAGAAAGACTGACAGGGATCAGCTTCTTACATCAAAGCATTTACATAAAGATAATACTTCACCAACAAACCTTGTTATACTTTATTAATTGTGACAAATGATGAAGAAAGACCAATATATTCTAGAAATTAATCCACCTTAATGTGCTTAACAGTAATTAATCAAACAGTGCAGGTAAAAATGTATTCCTTTTTCATGAAATTTGAAAATGTATTCTTCCTAACTTGAAGTATTTGTTGTACTAATGTGGTATTAATTGAGCTGTTTTACTAAAACAAGTAACCATTTGTGTTACACAGACAGAAACGTGATCCTGGAAAGTCCTGCGTCCACTTTGTTTGAAGGAGAATCAGTGACTCTGCGCTGTAGGCATCGTAATCAGAGAGAGGAGAATGCTGCCTTCTACAGAGACAGATCATTAATGGCAAACAACACAGTTCAAGTAATGTCAGACGGGAGCTCTTTCAGTTGTAAATTTGGCGATGAAGAATCTGAATCAATAAAACTGAGAACTGAACGTAAGTAGTTTTCATACATAAAAGCTTCAGACATTTAGTAATCCCAAAATGAAACAGAATTATATTATCTGCCTAATCTTAGAAGCACTGGACAATGAACAAAGAAAACAGAGGCTTTATACATTTTCACCCCGTTTTATGGTCGTTTCCACATAAGGTTAACCAACTACTTCAGTGGTTATAAATAGAAATATAAGCATAGTTATTTCTCTATATTTTCATTATAACATACACAGTGATTTAATATTACTGGAGTGCTGGATAAGATATATTATACATTTATATTATTTGTCAAGCTAGGCTTATTTACAGCGACAATAACTAACATTTTGTAAACATATTTACATGTATTCTACATTAAACAGCAAAACCAAAGGCCCAGCTGAGAGACGTATTTCCAGGAGGGGGCAATGTGACTCTAACTTGCTCTGTAGGACCATCATCAGCTTCTGGTTGGAGATACTTCTGGTACAAAAAAGAGAAAACCTCTGAACCCCTGAAGACACAGGATGTGGTTTTCCTCACAAATGATCAAATCAGTGTCTCACGAGGAGGCGTCTACTGGTGCAGAGGAGGAAGAGGAAACCCTGTTTACTACACAGAGTACAGCGATGCAGTCGGTAATAATAATTAAAAAAAAATCTAATATTATGTCATAAAGAAAATACAAATTATAATATTTGAAAGTAAGGATTAAGAAGGTCGCTAAGAAATGTATATTTGTTTGATTCTCTTTATTTAGTATTTTGTGCTTCTTCCTCTAACAGTCACAAACAGGGCTGTTGTGACCCTGCGACCCAACTGGCCTGAGATTTACTCTGGAGAAACGATCACTCTTACATGTGAAATTAAGGATGGAGGAGACTATGAGTGGGATTATATATGGACGACACTCGGGTCATACAAACCTCCGACATCTGACCCTAAATATACTCTGACCTCACAAAGTGGAGACTACGGGTGTATGGGCAGACTGAAAGGTGAAATGTCTGCCACGCTGTGGAGTGATGTTCTCACATTGACAGTATCTAATGGTAAATCATATATCATCAATATCATTTTATTTTGTTATTACATTAAGGACAGTTATGCCTTGAATGTGATTTACAGGTTTGTAGAAAATATGTAGGATGCAAGGAGTGTATGTGACCCACCAATTATAAATCTAAACTTTATATTTAAATCACTTTCCAACAGACAAACCTCTGCCTGTCCTCACTGTGTCTCCATCATGGCCGAGTCCTGGAGCCTCAGTAACTCTGAACTGCAGGGTTGATCATCCTTCTGCTGGCTGGAGCTTCTACTGGTATAAGGCTGTTCCCAAAAAGTCAGGCAACTCTTACAGCCATGAGCTGCTACCTGGCAGCGAGAATGGGACTGAACACCATCTCTTCATCATTGATGGACAAACACACACAGCAGGATATGTGTGCAGAGCAGGAAGAGGAGATCCAGTGTTTTACAGTTGGCATAGCAGTGCTGCATTTCTCTGGTCTGGAGGTCAGTATGTTTTTTTGTGTGCACCACCATTAGGGCAAAACATGTGTTAATCAAAGTGTGTCTAGTCTGGAGGCACTGGTACCTTTCTATTTTGTTTTCCTCCTACTGTAGTTTGCCCCCCCCCCCCCCCCCCCATCTTTTCAATGGTCAAGATTTTATTTGTAATGTTGTCTTTCGGTGTTACTGCTTTTTACATGCAACATAAAACCAACAACCCCAATAATTTTTTTACTTTCAACAAAGGCAGTATATGCATGGATTAAACATTCTCTTTTTAGGCTTGTTTAAGCTCTTTCTGCCTTTTTAGGGGATTGTAACTAGAGGTGTTGCTGTACCCATGCATTGTCTTTGTGTTTCAGATGTTAACTCAGCAGCGTCTCTCACAGTGAGTCCTGACAGTGTGCAGCACTTCACCAAAACGTCTGTGTCACTGAGCTGTGAGGGAAACTCCACTGAGTGGAGAGTGAGGAGGTTTTCGGTATATAACAACCTTTATGACTGTTCTATCTGGGGGACAATGACTGGATCCACATGCACAATAACTAGTACCTGGTTTAGTGGAGTGTACTGGTGTGAGTCTGAAACAGGAGAGTTCAGTAATGCAGTCAACATCACTAAAGAGTGTGAGTTTTATTTATTTAAAATATTTGTTTCTGAATTATTATATTGTTTTGAAATGTGAAGGTGACATGCAAAAAAAGCTAATTTCCGAAGTGAACTCCAGGGTCACTCCTCTCAAAGATCAAAAATAATATTCTGTGTTTTATTTTCCTCATCTACCTGACATTTCAACTTCCGCCAGACTAGAACAGTTGTGCCTAAACATATTAAATCTGCAAAAGCTGATATTATTTGATTTTTTTTCAGATGGTAAAATTATCCTGATGAGTCCTGTCTGTCCTGTGGCTGAGGGACATGCTGTCACTCTTAGCTGCAAGTTAAATAATGAAGCTGCTGTTAATAATGTGGATTTCTATAAAAATGACAAACTCATCCAGAACGATACCAGAAGCGAGCTGACCATCTCTGCAGTGTCAAAGTCAGATGAAGGCTTTTATAAATGTAAACGGAGAGATTCAGCAGATGGTTGGACATCACCCGAGAGTTGGTTCTCAGTAAAATGTGAGTATGATTTTAAAAACCTTTCCTTTTTTGTAAACTGTGTTAGAGTCTGAGATAAAGAAAGCTTAGTTTCCTCTGAATTAAACTGTGTTTGTGTAAGAGAGATGTTTTATACAGTTAATCTACAACAGGAACGTTTTATATAAATAAACATTAATAAAGATTACTTATAATAGCAGCGTCCGGGCCAGGGCCAGGAAAAGACTCTCAATTTCCCATTCTGCTGATCGTTGGGCTGCTTTGTGGAGTTTTACTGATTATTCTCCTGCTGCTGTTCCTGTATTTATACAGAAAGTCAAAAGGTGAGATCATTTTCCTATTTCGATATAAGATTGACTCTAATGTAATCACATGTATGTTTTAACAGTAGGACACTTTCGCAATGCAAAATAATAGAGTAGTACTTTTTTCTTTTTAACAGATTCATGCTATAGCAGGTTGGTACAACACTCTATTTTATTTTATTATGAACATGACAGCACTAATATGTTCCTTTCATAAATCCATTTAATTTACTACATGTATTTTGCCCACCAGATCTCAGAGGACCAATCAGAGCCCTGCTACAGACCACATGATCAACCAGGACGAAACTAACCAAAGAGAAAATGCTTCTGTTCTCCAGGGTCAGCCTGAATCCTTATTACGTTTTGAATTTATTGTTAACGTTATTAACCGAGTAGCATATCCATTTCTCATTAGTTGTTTTAAAAAATGTAGGAGTTCATATAGAGGGATTTTAATATATATTTGGTTTGATTTTGATTACTCTTCAGATAATGCCTGTCTCTATGAAACAATCAAAGGCCCTGAAGAACCTGCAAATGGTACGGTATAGTAAATATAAATACTGGAATAGGACAATTCAAGGTTCACTCTTTTAAATATAAAATTAATTGTATATTTCAGATGAATCCACGGATGTCACATATTCTGTGGTCAAGCTCAAAAACATCTCTAAGAAGGGTGAGCATTTTAAATGTATGTTGTAACAAAAACATGCAATAAGTTTTGTCTTTTCATGCTTTCTCCTGATCCGTCTAACAGGGAAGAAAAATGAACCGGAGGATTGTGTTTACTCACATGTGCAGATGGCATCAGCTGCAGGTCTGATGAAATACTACTCTCTTTAAGTTTTTGTTGGGTTACATGCTGCCTGCTAGGGTGTCATTTTAAAAGCTACCACAAGGTATTGCCAAAGTCAGCAATGTTCAAATCCTACACATAACTTTTTCAATGTTTGTTAAGTTTATTTTCTGCCAATTCTATGAATTCATGTAATAAACATCAGGGCATATGACATTTCATTTATCTGTATCCATACATGTTTAACTGTTGTGAATCATCATGAGCAATTCCTTCTATCAAACTGTCACTCTACCCTCTTGTGAGGAAAATGTATACCAGTACATTTTCATTTTTAACTGGGAGAATACTGTAAAAAATAAATAATAATAATCTCTTAATTCATAGGGAAGTCAAGTCCTGCACCAGCGGATGAAACTGTTTATTCTGAACTCAAACCAGGAACAGCTATTGGTGAAAATGCAGCGTAACGTCATGTAAGTATTGGGATTAATCACTCAATATATTTCATATATTGTTAAATATGTTGTAAATGGGAGTGATATGTCATGAAACACCCTAATTCTTTAAAAAGTTTAATCTCTTTCTCCTTTGATTTTCTTCCAGATCGATCAATGTCTTCTGTAAGGACAAGACGAATGGAAACAACATACCAAAACTAAACCTTTGTTTATTAAACCGTATTTGCAGCTTTGCTCTCCATTTATCAGACAGTATTTTGTACAGTTAATGTAATAGCAAATCATTGAAAGGAAATGCATCATATGGCTTTAATCTAGGTGTATTTAAAAAGAATTAAGCTTTGTTTTGCATCAATAAACTTTATTTACTTAATTGCTTCTACTTGATTTTTCTTTACACAAGATGTTTGATTTGTTTCATCATCCTCCGTCTTATTTTGGGGATCCAGTACAGTTATGCTTTGAGGCGACAGAAATAATTTAGAGGTGCAAGAGCTGAGATGTGACCAAAAAGTGTGTCACTTTGAATCATCGGCCCTTGTTATTACTATAGTGATGAAGCAGAAGAAACATCTAATATTAGAGGTTTACAGGATCGCTATTTTACCCCAAAAGATACTGACATTTGTCTTGTGTTTTTAGACTAATGCAGGATAAATTATCAGAATTACAATTGCAATAAAGTTCAGGTAAAGAATGAAAAGAGGTTCAATCATTCTGCAGTTGTCTCGATGAACCATCTAACTGTTGGCGTTAAATATATCTGCCTGTAAAACACAAGTATAATACTGCCATCCATTTTACTTAGATATCAGTTGAGCAAAAATGACTATTTACTCTGCCTTTTTAAAGTGGGATCTTGGTAGAGAGTGAAGTTAAAATGTATCTGCATGGCATGAGCATGAAGTAGTCATGCCAACGTAAAACAGGAAGGAAAGAGAGACTAGTTATTCTTAGAAAATGTGTAAAATACCAATGAGCTCATGTTGACATCAGATCAGATTTCCTCCCACAGTGCTCTGTTAGTCTTCCTCAATTTCTTTCAAGTGTTAAAGTGGACGTATGTGTGAGAGACAGAGAGTCAGTGTTGGATGTGAAGATGGGACACACTTTGCTCTGCGCGCTGGGGTTATTCTGTGAGTATATCACTGACTTTTGTATTTAGAACAGAGGATCATTGTTTTGTCTACAGAGCAGCGGTTTTTTAGCAACATCGTTTAGAGCCAAGGAATCTGTTAATTTGACTATGTTTCATCAACCATGATCATTTGAGACTATATTTATATACGCATTTTCAAGGCAGGACCTAGGACTGCATTGTTATAATGTGGATTTAAAGCGATTTCTCAAGATCTGCTTTTAATGTGTGATTAATATTGTTCGTTTTGTATTTTAAGTGTGTTGTTTTTAGTTATTTATGATTTTTTTAAATGAGTTTTACCCTGTATATATTCAGAAAAGCTCTCATAGCGATAAAGTGTAATTTTTAAAATATTATTTTTATTATTATTATCATCGATTAGCAACAGTGATTGTATTTGTGCACACTGTCCAAACAAAGTTGCTATATGTGAATCGTAAGCTGTTTTTTAATGCTTTTGTTGATTCTCATTTTGACAGTTTCTGTCAGTTTATAAAATATTTGATGAATTATCGATCTTTATTTTAGTGCTGAACACACGTCTACAATGCTGTCACGCTGAAGGTGATTTCAAATTCTTCTCTTTTCTATTCATCTCTCTATGAAACCTCGTTGATTGCATCATCTTTCGTGGTTTAGCCAATGACTAAAATGTTTAGTGAACAGTGTTAACTTACATTGTACATTTGTATGCCTCAAAGTAACCTTTTCCTCATGGTTGTTGTTGTTCTAATTACATATTTATTATTGTGTTGAATTCTAGATGCTTTGACTCTAAAGACCAACTGGTCCACTTTATACACGGGGGAAACTGTTACGCTCGCATGTGACAAAAGTGACGGCCAAGACACTGACTGGAGTTACACCTTCACCAGGAACAATTCAAAACTTGATTTCTGCAAAACAAAGAAGTCTTCTTGCTCATTCAAGTTAACGAAAAACGACAATGGCCAATACCAGTGCAGTGTTTTTCAAACAAAGACACATTCTACAAATCAGAGTAATATAGTCCGTCTGACTGTATTAGGTGAGTCATCTGATGGTTTTTCTCTCTGAATACCAACTATAGCAATGCCCACTGTAGAAGTGAACTCCTTCGATAAGTATTCTGCAGAAGCAATAGTCCAGTAAGGGAAAACAACGGGCTAATGAGAACAGAGCTGCTTTTAAAAATATGGAAATGTACTAAT